CGTTGATCATCAAAACGTTGATAGTGTAAAATGTCATAAAGATCTTATGACTTTTAAATTTTCGATTTGTGAAAATGTCCCTAGTAAGATAAGGTTGCACTGTATCCAGATTTATTCTTTGATATTCAGCAACGATTTGCCCTTTCAGCTAAGACATGATAGAACTTTACGTGAAGATAACAGTTGCGTAAACTAACGGCTAATAACGCTCCTTATTAGAATATAGACATATATTTCACAACCGAAAGTAACTTAGTAGAACGGACACTCTTAACGTCCCAAAACTTGAAAGCAGTTGCAGTTTGAAATTTTTTCCTTTTGATAATACTAGGTAGCGCATTTGTTAAACATTGTTGAGCACATCATCCAGTGATGCAAAATCAATGGTAGGTATTTTTTTCGTCAAAAGACAACAATCCTGGATGAGAATTTTTGCTGCTATCTCAGATCGGAATTTGATATAAGCAGTAATGTAAGGTCGTACACCTATCTCAACAAAAACATTCATATCCTTTCCTAATCTTGCAGATGTTGAAAATTTTTGGAATTAGTAGATAAAGAATCTGCCTTAAAGTCACTTAACCTTCTTCAGGGAATACTTAGGTCTTATAAGATCTAATCTTGTTGAAAGTAAAAAACACTCACAAGAAGATGAACAATGTCGAACTGCTGTAAAACAAGCTTTTACAACAATCTTGCAGAGTCTTCTATAAAAATCTAGCATTATTTGCCGGCACGCAACAAAAGAATCGAAAGTTGTGCCCTGTACCTACTGCATCAACGGAACATTAAGATTACGGTTAGAATCGGCAGAAAGTGGCAAATAAATATACTGTTTGATTTAAAAGTATAATACCTGATAGAAGAAAAAATGCAGAAAAAAGTTGCTTCGGACATGTGTACGCCTGCTCAACAATTACTTTTGAGATTTGTCTCCTTAACATGTCAGATTGGTACTTAGACAAGAAATCTAATCACTGGTCTTGTGCATACATGTGCACACATGGGAAGAAGTGTCCCACACG